CCACTTGTTGGTCTTTTCGCGTTGGTCTGAATGAAAATGCAAATTCATTCTTTGCCACTAGGTGCAGCTTTTGGAACGGTAAAATAGCGGTTTCCCCGGTAACGCTGTACACAAAGCAGCACTGCGCTCACAAACGCTGCTTTATCAGGCATTACAGGCGAGATGAAATGAAAATGAGAACAATCGACCAATCACAGCAGATTAGCGTCACTCAAAGGAGGGGTTCGGAAAAATTAATCGTTGAGCAAATAAGGTAAAAATAAATGCATATTAAGACAATGAAAGTGTTTTTTGACCTTGCATGCATGTCAACCTGTTGTTGGGGACTCCCAAAACCAAAATATGAACCTTTCATTACCCATAATAGGGGCACTTTAATCAGATTCTGCTCACATTTAATGCAAAAGTGATGCCCCACAACAAAACTCCTTGTGGATTTTGTAATTTGATATGCAGTGTTTGTGAAGCACTCTCTGGTTTTGGATGATTAATATGTAAGAGGGGTGGGGCTAAAGGAGAGCGTGCCGTGCCTGATTTGGACACACACTCAGATGAACATGGAAGAGAAAGTCCAGACCTGTTTCCATCTTTCCGTCCACAGCGGCCGGTCCGTCCAGCACCAGACTCTTGATCTGCAGGAACTCGTCCGGTTCATCGCCGCCGACCACAGTGAAGCCGAAGCCTCGCCGGCTCTTCAGCAGCTTAGTGCTTATGAAGGAGCCCTTGAGTTCGGCTGGATTACGGGTAAAGAACGGCTTTCCTCCTGCTCACACACACACACACACACACCGAGTTACTCATTATTCAGTCGTGTCATTACAAATGCTCATTGAGTCAGTGTGAGTGAAGTCTCACGCCTGGGGCCCGGGCCCTGAGGGGCCGACGGACTGCTCTGAGGGTCTCTGTATGTCTCCAGATGACTGGGCACATAAGAGCTGATTGCAGCGCCGGCAGACGAGTGCTCCTCTATCCATTCTGACACGAACAACAACACAAACAGAACAGAAACGAACAATAAACAAAAAACTATAAAAATCATTAAGAAGCACTGCATCAATGTCCAATAGAAAAAAAAATCTAACTTTTTGTTACACACACACACACACACACATTTTACATATATTGGCATTTCTCAAATAATGTGATGGGCATTTTTTTTTAAGTTAAATAGATATTTTCATTCAGCGAGGACACATTAAATTGACCAAAAATTAAGTAAATACATTAATAATCAGCATATTAGAATTATTTCTGAAGATCATGTGACAGTGAAGACTGGAGTAATGATGCTGAAAATACAGCTTTAAATTTAAATACATTTTAAATTAATTATATTTTACAATATATTCACATAGAAAACAGTGATTTTAAATTGTAAAATCTCAGAATATTACACTTTTTAATGTAATAGCAAAGAAGTGTAGCCTTAGTGAGCGTAAGAATCGTAATTCAAAAGAATAAAAAATTGATATCTTTGAAAGGATTTTGTGATTTAGTGTCTAGTCAATTAATTTGATGCTTACACTTTATTCTGATTGTTCACTTTAGTCATTCTACTAACTATCAGTAACTTCATAATGTCAACCAGCAGACGTTAGAGTATTACTGACTGTCTGCTTCATATCTGCTCACACTTTATTTTGATGGATATTCTACTGACTGTAAGTCACTTTGTTACGTACATGTCCACTTATCCTACTAACCCTAAACCTAACCTCACAGTCTACTGATCCTCTAATGAGAATTAGTTGACATGTAGTTGCAAAGTAACTTACAGTTAGTAGAATGTCTAAAGTAGAGCAGAAATAAAAAAGGAAAGTCAGTAGAAATTAGCTATTGAGTAGAAATTTAAATGAAGTGTATCCCATTTGATATATGTGACCCTAGACCACAAAACCAGTCACAAGGGTCAATTTTCTGAAATTGAGCTGAATAAATAAGCTTCCATTGATGTATGGTTTGTTATGAGAGGACAATATTTGGCTGAGATACAACTATTTGAAAATCTGGAATCTGAGGGTGCAAAAAAATCTAAATATTGAGAAAATCATCTTTAAAGTTGTCCAAATGAAGTTCTTAGCAATGCATATTACTAATCAAAAATTTAGTTTTGATATATTTACAGTAGGACATTTACAAAATATCTTCATGGAACATGATCTTTACTTAATATCCTAATGATTTTTGGCATAAAAGAAAAATGGATAATGTTGACTACAATGTATCGTTGACTTATGCATGCTTTTGTGCTTCAGGGTCACATATGTAAACTCATGTAAAGGAGAACGTTAGAACGCAATGCTCACTGTGCTATGGGAGTACATACTACAGCATTACACAGGTAATAGCGTTTCTCAGCATGTTCAGGTTCTGGTAGTGTTTCACTATCTGTTCTAGTTGACTCTGAAGTGATCCGCACCTCTGATGTAGCGTCCGTCCTCCGGCGGCTGCTGTGTGTCCAGCTGTTTCTGCCGCCGGGCCTCCAGAACCGGGTTCTCGTACTGCGTCTTACGGTTAATGTGACTGAGACACAGAGACACAGCCGGTCAGCATCAGCATCCTCAGACGCATCCAAGCTCTGCTGATTCTAATCATTCTCTACACTAAACCACACAGTGCCTGGAGCTATCTGAAGTGTGTTTTGTTACTGAATGATGCCTACAGTAATTGTTTTCAAATAGAGCAAGCTGAGAGACCATTCACAGCAGTGTAGAACAGAATAAAGTCTGGGCCCTACATTCAAACACACGCAACACTAGGAGTTTCTGTAAAATAACTGATTATGAGATGGAGGGATCTTACACTTACTCTACATAATAGACTCCATACACCGGGTCGTCGATCTTCTCCCAGCCAGGAGGCAGTTCTGACCACAAACACAGACAAATCAAGAGCCACTGAGCAAAGAGATGACAGGCGCTGCAGCTATGTGCTTTCAGAGTTTAGTAAGTGTTGAGAAAGATCATTCAGCACTGTCACTTTTTTGGTAGTTTGAGAAGCAGCTTTTAGCAGCATTACATTCACTCTCTCTCTCTCACAGCATATCTCAGTACTAAAGACACACTCACACACACACACACACACACACACACACACACACACACACACACTGCATGCAGAGAGAATCATGCTAACAATATTTTAATAATCACACCTTGCACAGGCGAGAGGAGAGACGTACCAAGATCATTGTCCAGCTCTTCTGTATGTACACCCTCTTCTCCAAGACAAGAACAAACAGACAAGTGTGAATATTTGATGATCAATGACAGAATAAGAGTGCAGAATTATCATGATCAGCATGCCGCTTCCATGCAGTTCCTCAGATAATGAACACACATTCATTACCTTCAAAATCATAATATCTTTAAATTTATGTCCATACATTTTAAACCAGCTTCAGCTTTGCTGTTTTTCTATGACTGAGAATGTGGAGTGGGGGGTTGTGGGTAATAAATGAGTGCAGAGAGCATGCACAGGCGCACATTTCTTGTAGAATGTACTCTGAATTGTGACACAGTCTTTCTGAACAGTATTCAGATCAAACACAGTACAGACCTCACACTCCTTACATCAGATCATCCTCACTAAACACATCACACATCTCCTGAAATACATTAAATGTATACTTATACAGTTCTTACATAAGAACTCCGTATTTTTAAGTCAAGTCCATTTTAATTTGTATAACACTTTTCTCAATACAGACAGCTTCATTTAATCATCATTGCTTTACTCAAAGCAGCAGCCTTCCAGTTTCCTTTAGTCTGAATATTATTTTTTTTTTCTATGTTGAATACTGATGTTGAACACAGACAGAGATGCGTCTCTGTTTAAGGCTTGTTTAGAAATCTTTTTTTCTTTGGTGTCCATGATGGCAGTAATGTGCACTGCTGATGAAGGACGCTGCCCTCTGCTGGTCACAGCCTGCAGGGACTCGCTCTTCCCGAGCCCAAACTGCATTCATCAGGTCGGGCAGATCTTCAGCGACACCCCGGTGCTCTGATGAACGAATCTGACGCTGATGTTACCCTATGACAGCTCTGCTCCAGGTCCTCAACAGTATCTGAGGTTTTAAATAGATGCCCCACTTCCGTGGCCTGGGCAATCTTCAGCCTTATCTGAGGGAACTGCTATTCGAGGATAGCTGTGTCCAGCCCTCTAGACTAGCTGTGCACTACTGCAATTGCGGTGAGCCCTCTCATGTAGTGGGCCCCTTTCCTAGAGCCTCGCTATCTGAGGATAGTTATGTGATAGCTCAGTGATCGCTCCCCTGCTTAGGGTTTTAAGTAGCGGTCTCTTGAGCCCTTACCTAGACAGTGCTGTCTCCCCTCTTTGGGTCGTAAGTAGACAGCCCACATTTTGTGGTCTGGGTAGTTTCAGTCAGTCCCCCTTCTGGTAGCCCTTCCCAGGTACATAGCTATCTGAGGATATCTGTGTGCTAGCTCAGTAGCTGCTCCCCTTCCTAGGGTTTTTAATAGCAGTCTCTTTGAGCCCTTGCCTAGAGAGTGCTATCGCCCCTGCTATGGTAGTAAGTAGATAGCCCACTCTCTGTGGTCTGGGCAACTCTGCAGGAAGGCTATCTAGGCTAGCTGTATATTGTTTACTTGGGACTGACATGGTTTGGGGTCCTCCTTAGTATAGCCATCTGAGGGTGGTTACATTCCGGCCACTGTGATGGCAGGACGGGCTTACCTGAATACAGCTATCTGAGGCTAGCTGTGCTCTACTGCAGTTGCGGTGAGCCCTCTCATGGAGTGGTCCCCTTTCCTAGAGCCTAGCTATCTGAGGATAGCTATGTGATAGCTCAGTGATCGCTCCCCTGCTTAGGGTTTTTAAGTAGCGGCCTTTTGAGCCCTTACCTAGACAGTGCTGTCTCCCCTCTTTGGGTTGTAAGTAGACAACCCACTCTTTGTGGTCTGGGTAGTTTCAGTCGGTTTTTTTTCTGGTAGCCCTCCCTAGCTACATAGCTATCTGAGGATATCTGTGTGCTAGCTCAGTGACTGCTCCCCTTTTTAGGGTCTTTAAGTAGCAGTCTCTTTGAGCCCTTGCCTAGACAGTGCTATCTCCCCTGCTAGGGTAGTAAGTAGATAGCCCACTCTATGTGGTCTGGGCAGCTCTGTAGGAAGGCTATCTAGGCTCTGATGCGGATTGGGGACCTCCCTTAGTATAGCCATCTGAGGGTGGTTATATTCCAGCCATTGGTATGGTGGGTTGGGCTTACCTGAATACAGCTATCTGAGGCTAGCTGTGTTCTACTTCACTTTGGTCCACAAGCCTTCATAAGACCTTAGGAACATAGCTATCTGAGGATAGCTGTGTTCTAGCTCAGCAGCTACTCTCTTTACCTGAGATTTAAGTAGCATCCTTTGAGCTCCTCTAGAGGCTTTCTAGTTTGCCTCCTCAGTGGTCTTGTGTATCCAGGCTAGTTCTGCTCACATTGCATAGCTATCTGAGGATAGCTGTGCTCTTAACTTGGATGGGATGGGCTTACCTGAATACAGCTATCTGAGGCTAGCTGTGTTCCATTGCAGTTGAGGTGAGCCCTCTTATGGAGTGTTCTCTTTTCCTACAGCCTAGCTTTCTGAGGATAGCTATGTGCTAGCTCAGTGATCGCTCCCCTGCTTAGGGTTTTAATTAGCGGTCTTTTGAGCTATTACCTAGACAGTGCAGTCTCCCCTCTTTGGGTTGTAAATAGACAGCCCACTCTTGTGGTCTGGGTAGTTTCAGTCTGGTAGCCCTTCCTAGGTACATAGCTATCTGAGGATATCTGTGTGCTAGCTCAGTGACTGCTCCCCTTCCTAGGGCCTTTAAGTAGTGGCCTTCTTGGCGCCTCGGCACGGCGTGATTGGATTTCGTACCCCAATGTGCCCCCTAGGGGGTGCAGCGTCTCGTTCCCTAGAAGGGGAATGTCTCGGGTTACGCATGTAACCATGGTTCCCCGTGAGGGAACGAGACGCTGCGCCCCCTTGCCATGCCTTTGGCCTGCCTGTCTACGTCTCCTTCAGACAGCTAAAGTGATGACGTATTCAGCAGGTGCCCTTTTATACTTCCGGGCATCCCGCCTATGACGTCATGGGCCAGGTGGGCCAATAGACTGGCGTTGTTTCACATGTGCTTCAGACACCGGTCATGCAGGCTGCATTCCCCAATGTTCCCTCTCGGGGAACAATGGTTACATGCGTAACCCGAGACGTTTTCCAAGACTTTGGGAATCTCCAGTGAAAAACACTTGTTGAGGGGGGTTAACAAAATAAGGAAAATTTTGATTTCTAATTGTTTTAGTTTATTTTCATGGTCATCTTGAGGCCCTCTCGTGGGCCACTGCTTGAGTGGACAAGAGTGTGTGAATTTAAGTGTGTCTCCCATTTAGTGAACATACACTAAGTAACATGGTTTCATAAGCATGAGATGATACTGGAACAGAGCAGTCCAGATAAAAACACAGCAGCGGTGGATGATGATGGATGATGCCGTCTTACCATCGTCATCACAGTCCTCCAGAGGTTTGGGCTGTTTGTCCTGACATCGAGGGTCCATCCACGAGGTGGTCTTTGTGTTGTGGCTGTAAACAACATCATCACTGGTGTTAGTATGAGAGTAATGAAACGATCAGTCACAGATTTCTGAAGCGTGAGCAGAGGTTGTGTCAAACGCATGATTGGTGACAGTACACCAGCAGACCTAAAGGCCAGGACACACCAAGCCGACTTTAAAGAACTAGCGGTGACAAAAGCTGACAGTGTTGTCTCCCCGACTGGACCAAAAAGCTGTGCTTGAACACACCGCACAGACTACAGCCGTCTGCAAACTAACACATGTGTTCTGCGCCTGCGTGAGAGGAGCTAGCTGTCTATATCAGCATCAATAGTAAATATCCTCCATTTAAAATGAGAAACTGAAACAAGGATAAACAAGATAAACGCAGATATACGAAACAAAAACAAAGCAGCGCTTGCTTACCATTTTGAATATGAGTTATGTTGATAACTTCATCATTTCAAGTGGCTCATGTTTTTATGAAAATATTCGCATATTGGAATGCTTGGGAAAGATCATGCAACATTAGAACAGCCTTCAGTCTGTGCTGCCTTCATTTACTTACTCGTTTTCATCACTTTCACTTTAATTCTGAAGAATTGACTCATTTGCTAAACTGAACGTCCAATCAGATTTCCTTGATGAGAGCCGACGAGTGAAACACACTGAACAAACAAACTACCCACATGAAAAAATACTATAGTAATTTATAGTAAATACTGTAGTGTTTTTGAACCATACTATAGCAAAGTGTATTACACTGTATATATTATAGTATTTTCCCTTCTTAGGTTTTTAAGTAGCGGTCTCCTTGAGCCCTTACCTAAACAGTGCTGTCTCCCCTGCTAGGGTTGCAAGTAGACATCCCACTCTTTGTAGTCTGGGTAGTTTCAGTCAGTCCCCCCTTCTGGTAGCCCTTCCTAGGTGCAAAGCTATCTGAGGATATCTGTGTGCTAGCTCAGTGTCTGCTCCCCTTCTTAGGGTTTTTAAGTAGTGGTCTCTTTGAGCCCTTGCCTAGACAATGCTATCTCTACTGCTAGGGTAGTAAGTAGATAGCCCACTCTCTGTGGTCTGGGCAGCCAAAGTGTATTACACTGTATATATTATAGTATTTACAAATGACTTGCAGCTTACATCAGACCAAGGCTGCATCTCATTGCTAGTTTTACTTGATCTTAGTGCTGCGTTCGACAGCATAGATCATGACATACTCATAGATCGATTACAAAACTATACAGGTATTTAAGGGCAGGCTTTAAGATGGTTTAGATCCTACCTGTCCGATCGCTACCACTTTGTTATCCTACCTGTCCGATCGCTACCATTTTGTTCATTTAAATGGGGAGTCATCTCAATTATCACCAGTAAAATATGGAGTTCCACAAGGATCTGTCCAAGGTCCTCTGCTATTTTCAATATCCATGTTGCCCCTTGATAACATTATTAGAAAATATGGGATTAGTTTCCATTTTTATGCTGATGATACTCAACTATATATTTCTACAAGACCAGATGAAACTTCTAAATTATCTAAGCTAACAGAGTGTATTAAAAATGCAAAAGATTGGATGACCAATACGTTTTTCCTATTAAATTCGGATAAGACAGAGATATTACTTATTGGACCCCAAAAAAATACACAGAATCTCTTGGATTACAATTTGCATCTAGATGCATAGGCATCGATCCCGTGGGTGCTCAGGGGCTCGAGCACCCACGGAAAAACACGAGATAGTCTCCATTCATTTTAACCAATAAGAAATGGATTGCAGCTTGTATGACTTATTCTCGTTTTCATAGTTCATTTGAGGCCATTTTTGGCATAATTGTAATTGCAAATGTCAAGAGTGCATTGTAATACGAGAGGGTACCAGCACGAATCTCTCGGCTTGCAGCGGGCTTTTTCTCCCATATAGTGATCATGGCTCTGCGCTCCTTCAGATATTACGTGTGCGCCCTCAAACTTTGTCCTGTGAATGTGCGAATAAGTGCTTATTGTAAACAGGTATTTATTAAATCATTTTATTTAGTGATGCGCAACCCTCTTAGAAAGAATGTGTGTATTGTTTGGTTACTAAATAATGTATTTGCAGTCAGTGCGTTTCACTTCACAAAATAAATTTTGAGCAGCAAATTCATCAAATGCACTATCCAATGGAGTATACTCTAGAAAAAAACTAACACCCAGAATAATTAATTACTGAGTCATGAGAATTAAATATTTGAATATCTGTATGATAACTTAGCCCAGTTATTATTTAGTCGTGGAAACAGCAGTGAAAATGCGTTTGAAAAAAAAAAAAAACCTCTGCACAATTGGGGGGGGGGGGATCTTGAGCACCCACCCTATTGTAATGCACTGCTAGGTGGTTGTCCTGCATCTTCAATAAACAAGCTACAGGTGGTCCAAAATGCAGCGGCTAGAGTCCTTACTAGGTCAAGAAAATATGATCATATTACCACAATTTTACAGTCTCTGCACTGGCAGAGTTCCGTATCAGTTACAAAATATTATTTCTTGCCTATAAGGCCCTTAATGGGTTAGCTCTTGCGTACCTAACTAGTCTTCTACCACGCTACATTCCATCACGCTCCCTAAGGTCGCAAAACTCTGGACTTTTGGTAGTACCTAGGATAGCAAAGTCCACTAAAGGAGGTAGAGCTTTTTCGCATTTGGCTCCCAAACTCTGGAATAGCCTTCCTGATAACGTTCGGGGTTCAGACACACTCTCTCTGTTTAAATCTAGATTAAAGACAGTTCTTTTTAGCCAAGCATTCACATAATGTATCTCATAACTTTGTACTTCAGCTATATCTGATCAAATGCACTTTTTCATTCTTTTGCTTGGGTTGAACACATCATCTTTGCTTGGTTGGAACCAGCAGCTACGCTAATTATGTCTCTATCTGCTTCTCAGTTTCTGCCACGGGACTTGCATCCCAAGGGAACTAGGAATTACACAAGCTTCAATCCAACCCTTACGAAGATCTGAGAAGAGATGATGCCAACCCCTCAGAAAACCTCAGATGATGCTAACCATGGAAAAACATATAAAACTACCAAATTTTGCTTAATCGCAACATATAATCATTGCAGTTAATAGTGTTCACCGTCTGTTGGATTACGTGTAATGTGTAACTAACTGCATGATTCTTACTGTACATTCCTGCCATATTAGTCACCACTAATAGCCTACTCCTAAATGTAATGTAGTAATGTAATATTTTCTGTAAAGCTGCTTTGCAACAATTGTATCGTGAAAAGCGCTATACAAATAAACTTGAATTGAATACAACACTTTGTTAATGAATGCTACAGCATACTGTAGTATTAACCATAGTGAACTGATAAACTTTAATAAATACTGTAGTATACTTTTGTTTTAACACAGTAAACTGTAATGTATTGTGATATATCCTATAGTTGTAGAAAACTTAGTACAGTATTGGGTAAAGTAATTTGTTTATATTACTATAGCTGTTATATTACCACAGCAACTATAGAATTACCACAACAAATTAATTCAAGTACTTTACTATAGTATGGTTCAAAAATACTATAGTATTTACTATAAATTACTATAGTATTTTACAGACGCTCACCAACGGCTTGGTGTGTCCCAGGCTTAATGTGCTGATCTTGCTGAAACGTGTGTGTGTGATCTTGTAGCGTGGCTCTGAGTGAAGTGTCTTACTCGATGAAGTAAATCTCTCCACTCTCGGTGTAGGCGGTCTCCCAGTTGTCCGGCAGCGCTCCGAGCGGGTCCTGGTCCGGAGGAAGGCCCGGCGGCGAGGTGGCCATGTTGTTCAGCACATAGCTGGGGGCATTGTCTCGCACCTCCGGCCGGCTAGAGTCTCCTGTGCACAGCAGGGGAGAGGGGAAGAGACTACGAGCTAAGAACTCTGGGTAAAACACAGGAGCAGTGGGAGGAGACACAAGAGAAGAGTCATAAACGCATGCACAACCCTGCTGTGAGTAGAGCTGGGTATCCAGAACCGCTCCCAAATTACCAAGAACCGGGGATTCGATAAGACACGTGCATTTCGATTCAGTGTTTGATTCCTGCATTCACATGTTAATGTGATTTTAAACTATTTAAGCGCAGGAGGGGAATCGAATTGATAAGAATCGATAAGCAGAATCGGAATCGATAAAATTCAAATGATACCCAACACTAGCTATGAGCCTGTGCCTTTAGTATTAGCATGTTGCTAAGCTAACATCATGAGCTACTCTCATCAAGACAAAACATATTGGGACACATACATTTTAGGAAAAACAGTCCAGTTAGATGAATTAGAGTTAATGTTTTTTTCCCCCGTTTTCTGTAGTCTCTGAAATGTAAATTGATTCCTATAAGGTTTTTTGAACAGCTTCTATTGATCCTTTTGGTACTGAATTAAATGTAAACTGATTCTTTAATTAGACTGAACTAACTGACTGTTCAGTGCTGGAATACAGTAAGCTCATAATCATCTGATCTTTATGTGTTTTGTTGGTCGTGTTCACCCCTGCTCTGTTGTCCAACAGCTGAGACGAGAGCACAGCAGACTGCTAATAATACACAGCTACCAGCAATCAGAGTCGCTACAGACAAGACCCTCACAAAATAAAGCCTTCAGTCTGTAGAGCCTCAACAGTGTTACTGAGCAGCCGCCTTTCTCACTTTCTGCTGTCTGTTCTGTTTATCCTGCAGTTACAAACTCAAACTCTAGCAGTAATGCTCTCTTAAACACACACTCAGAAATCAGCCCGCCTGATCTCAGCACGTGATCTGATCGTTCACACACACACACACACACACACACACACTCACTCACCTGTAAACGTGTTGTTCATGTCTGCATCCTCCTGCAGCGCTGTCTGCTCTACTCCTGCATGCTTCACGCGATTGCAGCACTTCTGGGAACCAGTGCAACTGTGTCACAAAGCATCATAGGTAATCACTGTCCTACTGAAAGGCTGGATGGGTGGCTTGGGTGTCCCATAATAGTTACCTAGGCAACCAAGAACCCATTAGCATGCTTGAAAAGAAAGAGGGACAGAAAGCATGGCAGAGAAAGAGAGATTTGTAAAACACACACACACACACACACACTCGGCTCAGTACAGGAGAACACAGCAGAGGCGTCTGTGGGCCTTCCTCTAAAACTAACACTAGAGAGTGTGGTAGTGTTTCTCCAGAAGCACACAGACATTTCTGAATGTTTGGTCAGAGACTGTAGCTAAAAACAATCAGCACACAAGCAGGCTACAACATTCATATCCTGGAGTCTGACACATGCAATATTCAGGGACATACGCAGGTTTTTATAAATACTGAGGTCCCAAAATGGAGATTGGTAGGGGTGCTCGGGGGCATGCTCCCCCGAGAAAATTTTTATTTTCCTGACCTACATGTGTGCATTTTTAAGATGTTTTAAGGCTCATATATTGGATAATAATATAGGTTTACAACCAAGTCAGTGCGCAGTAGTAGCATAAATAATTTTTCAAGATAACAGACTTTTAAACATGAGAATCAGATTAAACGTTGCAATGAATGATCCACGCTACAAACTGGAAATAGAGAAGATATACTTTGTTTATGTTTATGAATTTAATAAACTCAGTTATAATTATCCTGGTAGCCTTCAGTAAAATCACGTCAAAAATGATTAAACATGAATAGGGCTGCCACTAATGACTATTTTTATTTTGATTAATCTATCGACTAATTTATCGCTTAATTTATTAATCTAAACGATTAATTTCCCACAAAAAAAAAATTTTCTTAAATGTAAATGTGCAGTATTTCAGAAAAAAAAAAAATTTTTTTTTTTTTTGTAAAATCAATTAATTGGAGATGCTTTTGATTATTAAAATTTAATAAAACCATTAAAATGGAATCCAGAAAATAATGGAAAACAGAATTTGGTAAAGATAAAACTGTAAAACTCAATTAATTAGACAGGCTTTTTGATTAATACAATTTAACTTAACCATTAAAAGAGAGTATAGAAAAATGAAAATGGAAAAAAAAACTGAATTTGGAAATAAAACGTATTTCATAGGGCCCTATAATTATAATTTTGTGGTAATAAAAATAGATGCAAGTGAACAATAGCCTTTAAAATTACTTAAAATACATATATAATAGCAATGAGGCAATAATAATTAGTTCAAATAAAGTATCAAAAGCAATAAATCATGTGGTTTTATTGAACAAAATTGTTAAAATACATAATGTATTATAAACAATAGAGCTAATGTACATTACGCATTACAACAAAGGCCTGCAGGGGGCGCCAACGGCCTGATGATTATTTTTACACATTGCTGTGCGATCTAATCCTTGTTTAATATTGACCAAGCACCATTTCATTCAAATGTCCACTTAATCTTTAATATTTGCCCATTTCTTTAGGACAGAAATGCTACAGCCACTGTAATTAAAAGAATATGTGGACATCAAAACGTGTAAACTCTTTGTTTTTAAAAAAAAAGTGTGAGGGTTTGAGCTTTTATTTTGAAACCGCGATGGTATTCTCCTGATTTGCGTAGATTTATAAATGATTTACCTCACAAATCTGATGAAATGGCGCATGTTACGTTCCCAGATGAACGTTATAATAAACCCAAACTCACAACAACATGCAGAGATGACGTTTGAGACGCTCCACACATGTAAATGATAACAGTTCTTGTGGAACTACTGTGAACGGAGCCGCTGTGTGACGAATGTACTTAACCTACACGCATGTAAATAATTAAAGCGCATATACTGCGCCACTTCCGGTATGTTGCCAGTAAAGGGGCGGTCACACTAGACTTTGAACTTGCAACATTTTTTTGGATGCTGCTGTGAATATGGGCGGGAGCAGGATATGACATCACGCGCCAATGTTTCCCCTCAGTTTTTTTATTTTATTAAAATTTTTTATTGAAGATATAGGTTTTCCCTCAGTTATCACAACATGGTTTTTAAGTGATGTAGGTTTTTCCCTTTAAATAGGTCATTTTATAAGTTCCTATGGTGTGGTCCAAAATTAATTTTAAAATGAGTCAGAAAATATAAATATATAAAATAACGAACAACATTAAGTAATTTAATAATAATACACTTGTGTATGGTAATTATAAGGGCTGTGTATCACCAGCAAAGCCACGATACGATACGTATCATGATACAGAAGCAGGTCAGAGTTAACCAAACTTGAACTTTGGAACGCAGCGAAATGCGAAATTTTTCGCATAAGCTCGCGTTTCCGGTTTGACGCATTCGCATGCGTATGAATGGAAGTCAATGGAACGAAAAGTGCAGTGTGACCGCCCCTTTAGTCGACGCGAGCAAAATGAAGTCGAATAAAATCGACGAATCGCGACAGCCATAAACATGAATATATTTTTTTTAATTTTTTTTATTCACACTGATAGAAATTAATCTTTTCCAAAAAGTTTAAACTGATTTTTACATTTGATGGGCATTTTTACCTTTATAAAGACTATTTTAAATCAGTTTTTAAATCTTTTTAAAATCCTTGTTTTATTGTTGATAATTTTTTTTTATCAAAAATCTTGATTATTTTTTTTATGATTATTTTACTTCCTTTTATGTAAAGCCCTTTGAATTACCATTGTGTATGAAATGTGCTATATAAATACACTTGCCTTGCCTTGCCTTACATTTAATCAGTGAACATGTGGGCTGTTACCAGGCAAATGAAATCAATATAAACAAAATTCATATTTGCAATGCAGAGGAAACACAGAAGCTGCATCTGAAGTGGCATTTAGTTGTATTTACACACTGTTTAATACAGCTCAGATGGACATGAATGCATTTAACCTGCAGTTACAAATGCATAAATAATATTTTGATATTTTAAACATAAAATATTGAATACTGATATTTGAAATGATTTAAAACATGAAAAAAATAGAAAAAAAAGTAGGTGTACCGCCAGTAGGTGGCAGAGAGTCACTGTTAATAAGCGAGTCATTGCGATTGAACCGAATCATTTAAATGGTTGATTCATTCAGGAACAAAACACCGTCGTGTTGCTCAGAGACGCAAAACTGTGGCTGTGTTTGGAATCATTTTTGTTGGTGAAATAAAGCAAAAACAGGAAATATGGTGTCTAAAACATAAGTCTCTTAATATTAACTTCTTGTTTATTGAACTGTTGTATTAAATCAATATCATATTTGTAATCATGGTAATTTTTGGAGAAAAACAGCACTCTTTGTGTGAAATTGATTAACTATATGAAGTGAATATATACATTTTCATGTTTTGAATTATGTGATCATTCTATTTAATTGACTGAATCATGCAGTGAAAGAACGCACTCTAAATGCGCACACGCACTAGTCTAGACTTCACATAATGTATGTGTGCACTCTGTATGGCTGTTTTGAATGGTTTTTGCAAAATACTCGATAATGTCAAATCGCATATCGTTAAAACAACAATTACGATATTATCGCAGACTATATATATATCGCACACCCCTACCGCCGAGGCATCTCATTTGAGAAGATCTGTTATCTTGGCTTTTTATCTATGCAGCACCAAAGCAGAATTAATATAAGGTAATTATTTTACAACTTCTGTTATTGGATAAATACTGAGGTCTGGACCTTGGGGACCTCAATGGTGGGTACGGCCCTGGCAATATCAATGCACTGAAGGTAGCTTGAAGAATACTGCATTCATAGTTGGATTTATAATAAATGAGCGTCATCTAACATGTCGCAATCAAATGTATTTAATACATTCCTAATAATTTTTTACATTATAATGGCTTTTTAAATTTTGTTGTTCAATTGTAAATTTGGACACACGCACACAAAAATCAGTAAATGAGTTAAAGACACAATCTTACACATTATAATTCATGCTTGTTAAAAAAGTTCAGTTCAGTCATACAAAGAGGGCGAGTGACTTCTGGATATCATTAACATCATTAACTTATGTAATACAGTCAAGTATTTCTCTATCCTATACTGATAAATGGCAGTTTGTCAAATGTTTCTGTAAATATTGCGCATCCATCAAAGTGTTTGAGATGCTCAAGGTTGAGTTCCCTTTGCTTTGTTTTTAGCTATGCTAGCATGCTAATGCTCTCTTTGGGGGGCGATCGCTCCATGAGCTGATCTGAAGCTCTGTGTGATGATGATGATGATGGACTGAGGGTTTGTGACTGACCGTCATGCGTTCATATCTCTAGCAGTCCTCCGCTCCGCTCTAGCTCCAGGAAGTCCTCCACAGACAGGAAGTTGTAGTCCACACCATGGAGCTCTCCGTCACGAGGAGGAACCTGCGAGAGAAACACAAGGGTCAGATCTCCAAACCGCTGTGGAGTCTGAGAGATCTTCACAGTATGTTGATTTTATTTCTTATGTTTACAAATGACTGGAAGACTATTAGCGGTGATGCATCGCAATTCTCTCTTCAACGCTTCTCGAAAAGATTCTGGGGTTGTTGTTTTTTTCCCCACATATGGCATGTGTGTGCAAAACTTAGATTCACGAAACTCAGGTACTGACAGACTTTCACATGCGCTGTGCGTTTGTTTGTCCTGAAGCTCGATCACGGCTGCGGTTAAACACACATGCATCTCTGAATACTTTTATGATAGGAAATTGATGTAAACACAGTCAGTTATGTTTTCAGAACAGGACAAAACATCTGGTATGTGGAAGTAGATCTGTGCATTAGTGTGAATGCAGCCGATTAAAGCTGCCACTGTCTGTGATCTCATCAGTAATAATCAAACAGCAATAATGCTGAGGAAAAAAGAAAACCCATAACTATGATTGTCTATAAACTTTCAGATACTTAGAACACTCTTAGATACAGAAAGTGTTTTTTGTTTATCACTTGTAGTTGTCTTCCCCCCTTTATTACTCTATATTTGCTTGTATGTTTTGAAGCTATTATATTTAGTTGGTTAAATTCTTAACAATTGTTTTGATTTATTATTAATTTAGGTTACACTTTATTTTGATAGTCCACTTTAGACATTCTACTAACAGTAAGTAACTTTGCAACTACATGTCAACTAATGCTCATTAATGCACACACAC